GTGAAAAAACTTACACCGTTGCTGAAAAGTTACTCCTTTTGCGAAAGAATTTTTGTCATAAGGTTTATACTTTTTTTAAACTTACACCTTTTCTGAAAGCCCAACTTAAACCTTTTTCTGAAGTCACTTATATCTTTTGTGAAAAAAAAATTGATGAAATTTACACATTTTGCCTCAACTTACAGCTTTTCGTGAAAAAACTTACACCGTTGCTGAAAAGTTACTCCTTTTGTGAAAGAATTTTTGTCATAAGATTTATACCTTTTTGAAACTTACACCTTTTCTGAAAGCCCAACTTAAACCTTTTTCTGAAGTCTCTTATATCTTTTGTGAAAACATAACATTCATATAATTTATATCTTTTGCTAAAATTTACACATTTTCATGGAAATGCTTATATCTTTTCTGAAAAGTTACTCATTTTGTGAGATAATTTTGAAATTATTGTAAGTTCAAAAGGCGTAAGTATTATGTGTAAGTTGTCAAAAAATTCAAAAGGCGTAAGTATTATGTGTAAGTTTTGAAAATTTTATGAAATAAAATCTCTCACATATGGTGTAACTTTCAGAAAAGTTATAACTTGTTTTACAAAAGATGCAAGTATTATGTGTAAGTTGTCATTCACGTATGGTGTAACTTTCAGAAAAATATAACTTGTTTTACAAAAGATGTAAGTATTATGTGTAAGTGACAAAATTTTATGAAATAAAAATTTTCACATATGATGTAACTTTCAGAAAATGTATAACTTGTTTTACAAAAGATATCAGTATCATGTGTAAGGTGTCATTCACCTATGGTGTAACTTCCAGAAAAAGGTATAACTTATTTTACAAAAGATGTAAAAAAATTTTACAACTTACGCATAATATTTACGCCTTTTGAACTTACAATAATTTCAAAATCATTTCACAAAATGAGTAACTTTTCAGAAAAGATATAAGCACTTTCACGAAAAGGTGTAAATTCTAGCAAAAGATATAAATTTTACGAATTTTTTTTCCCACAAAAGATGTAAGTTACTTCAGATAAAGGTATAAGTTTGGCTTTCCGAAAAGGTGTAAGTTTCATAAAAGGTATAAATCTTATTACAAAACTTCTTTCACAAAAGGATAACTTTTCAACAGCGGTGTAAGTTTTTTCACGAAAAACTGTAAGTTTAGGCAAAATGTGTAAATTTTATCAATCATTTTTTTTTCCACAAAAGATACTTCTCACAGGAGGTTTAAGTATTTCAACGAAAAGGTGTAAATTTTAAAAAATAAATTATTTCACAAATGTTTAACCTTCCACAAATAGTGTAAGTGTTTTCAAGGGAGATGTAAGTAACTTCGCAAAACCTGTAAGTTCTTAAATCCAATCAAACTATATTTGTCTTCTTCAAATAATGGCAATGTGAGAGAGAAGGGCGTTTTGGAGGGCTTGGTCTTTCTCTCAGTAGAAGTCCATTTCAGAGAAGACGAGTTTGGGAGGGCTTGGAATAGCGACTCCAAGTCCAAATCCAACGAAGAATGTCAATCTAAAAGAGAACCGTTTTAAATATAGAGCAACGGACAGACAGAGAGAGATAGACTGAGATCAACAGACAGAGACCTAGATGGACAGTGATCGATAGAGAGGGACCGAATCGACAGAGACAGCCAGACCGAGATCGACAGAGAGGGACCGAATCGACAGAGAAGAAACCACATGGACACAGACACACCAAGATCGCTGGAGACAGACCGAGAGAGACCGACATCGACGACCGACATCGACAGAGAGAGACCAAGATCGATAGCCAGAAAAAAAAAACCTTTGATTTGCGGCGGTGGTGGCCGTGGAAGTGGCCGTGGCCGTGGCCGTGGAGGTGGCGACGACAGTGAGCACCGAAGGCCACCGACGCTCGGGTGGTCAGCGGGGTTCACGAACCCTTTGATTTGTTCAGTGGTTGTCCTAATTTGTTTATGAACACTTTGAAGTGTTACTCCTTATGTGGTTATGAACACTTTGACATGTTACTCCTTTTGTGTTTATGAACACTTTGAAATGTTACTCCTTTTGTGAAATTACTTTTTCCATAAAATTTATACTTTTTATTTAAATTATACCTTTTGTGAAAGCCAAATTTAAACATTTTTCTGAAGTCACTTATATATTTTGTGAAAAAAAAAAATCATCAAATTTATATACATTTTGCAAAAACTTATACCTTTTTGTGAAAACACTTACACCGTTGCGGTAAAGTTACTCATTTTCTGAAATAATTTTTGTCATAAGATTTATACTTTTTCTTGGAATTTACACATTTTGTGAAAGCCAAACTTAAACATTTTTCTGAAGTCACTTATATATTTTGTGAAAAAAAAAAATCATCAAATTTACACATTTTGCTAAAACTTACACCTTTTCGTGAAAATACTTACACCGTTGTTGAAAAGTTACTCTTTTTGTGAAAGAATTTTTGTCATAAGATTTATACCTTTTCTTGAAACTTACACCTGCTGTGAAAGCCAAACTTAAACATTTTTCTGAAGTCACTTACATCTTTTGTGGAAAAAAAAATTCATAAAATTTATATCTTTTGCTAAAATTTACACCTTTTAGTGGAAGTGCTTATATCTTTTCTGAAAACTTACTCGTTTTGTGAAATAATTTTTGTCATAAGATTTATATTTTTCTTGGAACTTACACCTTCTGTGAAAGCCAACTCAAACCTTTTTCTGAAGTCACTTATATCTTTTGTGAAGAAAAAAAATTCATAAAATTTATATTTTTTGCTAAAATTTACACCTTTTCGTAGAAGTGCTTATATCTTTTCTAAAAACTTACTCATTATGTGAAATAATTTTGAAATTATTGTAAGTTCAAAAGGCGTAAGTATTATGTGTAAGTTGTCAAAAAATTCAAAAGGCGCAAGTATTATATGTGAGTTGTCAAAATTTTATGAAATAAAATTTTTCACATATGGTGTAATTTTCAGAAAAGGTATAACTTGTTTTACAAAAGATATAAGTGTTATGTGTAAGTTGTCATTCACATATAGCGTAACTTTCAGAAAAGGTATAACTTGTTTTACAAAAGATATAAGTGTTATGTGTAAGTTGTCATTCACATATGATGTAACTTTCGGAAAAGGTATAACTTATTTTACAAAAGATGTAAGTATTATGTGTAAGTTGTCAAAATTTTATGAAATAAAACGTTCCACATATGGTGTAACTTTGACAAAAGGTATAACTTGTTTTTCAAAAGATATAAGTATTATGTGTAAGTTGTCAAAAGTTACGCCTTTGGTGAGCAATTTTACAAAAGTTGTAAGTTGTCAGAAAAGTGTAAGTACTTTCACAAAAAAGTGTAAGTTCTCACAAAAGGTGTAAGTTCTCACAAAATGTGTAAGTTTTAATAAAAGGCGTAAGTTTTTACAAAGGGTGTAAATTTTCAAAAATCACTTACGCCTTTTTCTGAAATTACTTACGCCTTTTGTTAAAATTTACACCTTCTGTGAAAATTTATAAATTTTGTGAAATTATTTACACCTTTTGTGACAAAATTACACTTTTAGTCATAAAATATATATTCTTTTATTCATTTACCTGGAAGTGACATGCTTTAGCAGGTCACCAATGTGTTAATTTTCAAATATTTTTGTATAATTCAATACCCAATAAAATATAAAGATAAAATAGAAAGATGTAAATACCTTGCATACCATATGCAAAGCACACATAAAAAAAAGTCTTTTTAATTATCGAAAGTGTATTTTCCAATAGTCGTGCGGATGGGGTATATCAAATCAAATTGTTAAAGGCATCAATCGAAGACATAATCATCAAGGAAAGTGAAATAACGAGTGCTGTCTTATGGCTTCAATTTCATGATGTTTTGTGATGATGAGGACTAGTCCAATTAATTATCTATAGGGGAAATTCAGAAAATCCTATATCAAAGATACAAAAGTTTGGAATTTAAAAAAAGATACAAAAGTTTTCCAACAACAAAGACCTCAAAGTCCAGTCTTCTCTCTTTCTTTTTCAATTTTTTTTTTCATTTATTTAAATTAATATTGTTACATCTTTTCTCTCATATTAACACTTTTTTTTTTTTTTTTGTCACAATAACTCTACTAAAATTTACAAGTTTGAGATGATATATCTTGCGTCATTTTAGTCTCTATAATTTTAATTAGTTTAATTTTGACTTTTAATTTTAGATTTTTATCAATTTGGTCCAATTGATAATATCGTTAATATTTTTTTTTTTAAAATCATCATTAAATTTGTTGAGATTAACTCACTGATTTAAGTAAGTTTATAATTTTGTCCTTAAAAATATGACACATGATACTTATGTTCGTATTTTTTATAAAAAATGTTAGGAGTTGTAATCAATTGACCAAATTGATATAAAATTAAAAATTAATGATCAAAATTGAGTCAATTAAAAATATAAAAATCAAAATGACACAAAAAGTAAAATTTGGAAATTATCAGTATAATTTATCTTATAATGAATTTGATATTAAAAGATAATACATGTAGTACGAAAAATGGTAACATGAAGAAACACGAATATCAGCGCGAAGAATGGGGCAACACAGGTCAGCACATGCGAATTCCTTGACGGGGTGCTAGCTGTACATGTTTGTCTTGTAATTAAATTAAATGCATAATAACTTCAAAATTATGTTAGGAATTGATATGATCAAACACAAAATAAGTGAATATATCATGCCCACAAAAATATAAAGATTTACGTATAGTAATACAAAAAGACGTGACACTTTAATTACAAATACATATTATTAGGATAATAGAACAAATCTATGAAATACGCAAAATATTTTTAGTCGAAAATTCAGGATTGAATAATTAGTGTTTAGTATTTATAAGACTCACACTAGTCAGCAAAAGAGAGCATTAATCATAAGTGGAATATATGGTCTGAATGAATGAATACCAAGAGCCAGCCGCAAAGTTTATCACACGGCATGGATGTGGTTTGAAAATTCTCGTCTCGACACAGACTGAGAAATGTATATGTATTGCACACAAACGCTTCTTATAGAGAAAGCAACTACAAGTCTACAACTGCCACCACCCCAAAAAAAAAAAAACAATAATAATAATAAAATAAAATAAAAATTTACAAAGACTCTGAGGTGGACTTGTCTATTCGTTTCATGGGAAGATGAAAGGCACTTTTCCCTCTTCCTTAAATAGAGAGATGGTTGTGCTGTTTTTCTTTCCATTGAAAAGTTCATATTTTGCCTTCTAAGCTTTTGGTTTGGAGGAGCAGAGCAGCTGCAGTGCAGAGACACCTCTAAATTGGTTCTCCCAAGCATTGAAATAACATCATGAAGGTATGCATTGTTTTGGATTATCGCACACCAACAAACAAACGCGCACATACGCTAAACAAAAAATAAAATAAAATAAATAATTCATGCTGCCAAGTCTGATAATATTAGATCTGATTCCTCACTTCTGTGATTGTGTCTGTGGTGTGTGTGCGCAGAAGAAGATAGTAATGAAAGTAGAGATGAGATGCCAGAAATGTCGCACCAAGGCACTCAAGGTTGCGGCAAAAGCACATGGTTTGTGTACAACTTACAAGTTCACAATTAAAAAAGTTGGGCTTTGTTCAATTGTGTTTTCAGAACCTTACTTACATAGATTACATATAAATTATTCTAGCATTAAATTAATTAAACAGTTGATTTGATTTGATGTCATGTCATGTGGTGATGCAGGTGTAGAATCCTTGATGTTGGAAGGAGAGGAGAAGGATGAAGTGGTGGTGATCGGAGATGGAGTTGACGCGGTTGAGCTGGTTAAGAGCTTGAGGAAGAAGGTTGGGAATACAGACATTCTCAGCGTTGCAGATGTCAAGCCCAATTAGTTTAATCTTCTTATATTTGTTTGACCGAATTTTCCAGCAGAGAGAGAGAGAGACCATCTTCCAAAAAACTTTTAATTTCTGTAATGCAGCTTTAGTTTTGTAAACTGTTATTTCTGTTTGTCGGGATAAAATACACGCACAAAAATCATCCAAAAAACAGGGCATAGCAGAGCACAAACGTAGCAAAAAACAAAAATGAATTTTCTGCTACAAATAATCAACTTCAAGCATGCAACTTTCAGTTACAGAAAAGAAAAGAGGGAATAAAATGAAAGAACAACAATGAAAGATTTATCTGGGCAGGGCAGGGCACCAAGAACCTGAACTTCTGCTTTTACAGAGCTTTTCTTCTCCACAATTCATCCGCATAACACGCCTATGGCATGTTTGATTGAAAGGATTAGATCATGGGATTGAGATTATTAATTCGTCGGTTCAATTATCTTATGTTATTTTAACATTTTGTTTTAGGATTATTAATTCAATGGATAATGAATTCAACAAATTTGTAGGATTATTAGTAATGGGGTAGGAATGGAATTGTGAATACCACACTAATTTGATAGGATTATTAATACCTCACCATTAGTCTTGTGAATCAAACATGATCCTAAGATTTTGATACAGACCCCCACAAAACCCAATTCCACGACCGCCAAGCACCTGTGAGAGAGAGGGGAAAAAAAATTACATAATGAGTGATCACTCATCAGTTAGGGGTCATGGGGTCACCCATTTTGGGATCTCAAGCATTAATCAACACACCTATCAACAGCCCTCTTCTTTCGGTTCGAAAAAAATTCACTTTGAGCATTGATATTTAAGTCCAATGTTAAACCTAATTTTTAAATTTAATGATGTGGTATTCATTTAAAATAACTTTCTTTCTCATATCTTTTGTAAATATTAACCAATCATCTTTTACACATTTTTAAATTTAAAAAATGATTTATATATCATTTTCTTTAAAATATATGTTTTGTTTGATTTTAATCCCAAAGTATATGCTTTTTGCATTTTGATTCCCAAATTTTAAATTTTGCTGATTTTCTTTTCTAAAATCTCTCTTCATCCTCTTATGATTTGGCCTATGTGCGAATTACGTTATTCTCATTTGCAACTAATCACATAGTCCCTCGTGTGATCTGTGGACTGAAATACACTACTAGATCTGTTAATGATTTAATGAAAAATAAAATATATATAATTGATAGATTCATTTGCACACCAAAATATTTTATTTATAATCAAATAATAACTACTTCTCCGTAGAATTGTGATTAAGACCAGGTGTCGATCCATTGGGACTAATGATAAATAATTTAATTTCGAAATTTAGATTTGGTTGCAAAAATTTAGAGTGAAAACTAAACTAATTAATTAAACAAAATAAAATAAATATCTTAAAATTTCGAACCCATCACTAAACTCATAATTGGGAGCAATTGTACTCAGTTTTTAGAAAATCATTGATTTAGATACTGTGATGTAAGTTGATCAGAAATACATTGTCAAGAGGATTTATATATCAAAACCAAAAAGTTACGCAATCATCCTTGCTTAACACGGACCATCACCACTAAACTACGATTTGATACACGACCTATTTTATTAGGTATGACTCGTCTAACAATTCTAATATACAGCAGTAAAAACTATTGTATAACATGATTTGAACAAAATATTCATTGCACAAAAAGATCTAAAGTTGTACAATTGTATCCAAATCAAATTAAAACAAAAAATAATAAACACAACTCACCTCAATTATTTGATCAGGATTTCATCTCTATTCTAAGACAGAAGAATTATTACACACTAATATCTACAAACTACTCTCCCACTCTGCCTTTCTTTCTATTTTTTTCTTCCTCACTTCGTCCCATGGGCCGAAGCCCTCTACTCCATTGAGCTCCCCTCTCCCCCTTTCTTTTCTTCTCTTCTTCTTCTTTTATAGCCTTCAACCTGCAAAAGAAAAGAAAAGAAAAGAAAATATAACATTTTATTATATGTAATTAATTAGAGTGATTGAGGGGTGTGAGAAGCGTGGCTGCCTCTTTTTCTCTTTCTTTCTTTCCATTTTTTTTTTCTTTCTTTCTTTTCACTCTTTCTTCCATTGCTTCCAACTGTCTCTCCTTTGTTTGTTTGTTTGTTTTTTTTTTTTTTTTCATTTTTTATTTTATTATTTATATAATATAATATAAAATACATTATTTATACTAATTAATGTACAAACACTAAAATATATATAAACACGCAATAATCACACAAAACTATAAAAGAATACAAATTAATGGACTAATAAAATGTATGTTAGTGGACTAAATGTTTAATATTTAGGATCCGATCACACCCTTCAACTTACATTTTGTTAGTCCTCAAGCAAAACAAAACTAAAAAGATAATAAAATAAAATTTATCTATGCCCTTTTCGTAGGGAACGCGATTGCATTTAGCATATACAACTAGCCTTTGAACCCCTAAGTTACTCCTACTGGACGAGTTGTAATCTCGAAAGAGTTTGCTGAGAATTTACCCACTGAGAAGGTAATTTATGTGAAAATTGGGCCGAGCTGGGTAATGGGCCGCTATGAGCCGCAATACAAAAGGCTGAGTAAAATGGCCATGTAAGTTACTCCGATCGTGTGGTTATTTTGTAGATAGTCTGGTCCTAAGGCCGTGAAGCTAGTCCGGTCTGACAGAAGATCGAAGTTAGACCGGTCTAACGGTACTTTGGAGTTAGACCGGTCTTGGAGTTACACCGGTCTCGACATGTTAGTTCAGTCTGACCACGCCATGGGTTGTGCATGAGGAGCCGACGTAAGAGCATTAAAAGGAAGAGTTAGTTCGGCTTACTCTTCGGCTATGCATAGACATATTTACTTCGGTCATATTGGAGTTCGGCCATGATAAAACCATCTCACTTGGTTTAAGCAGTAAGGGGGGTGTTGAAGGATAAGCATTATCTTTCAGGAGTATGAATCCTAGGAGGACTCTGCATGGAGGAGTAGAAGTCCTACTAGGATTGTGCCACACGAAACCTCTAAAAGCTTACAACATCACCTTTGGAGAGGTAACACAACTTTGTTTTCTGAATACACAGAGCTTTTGTCTACTTGTCTATTTTGCTGACTTAGGCATCGGAGAGGTTTCCGGCACACACCCGCCGGCTAGCTCACGTTTGTGTTTTCAGGGAGTAAAGCGACGTCGTACAGAGGAGCGCAGACTTGATCAACAGGATTATACGAGAAGGTTTATTTCTTTCTCGTACACCCACAAAATTCAATTTTTTTCTTTTTTCGTAGAGATAATTATTAATTTTAATATATTGGCAAAAGAATTATCAGAGTTCAGAATACTAGCAATCAGTAAAAATAATTTATCTATCTCAAATCTTAGTATGTGTGTGTAAATTATAGCCAACAAAAATATTATTTAATCTCAAAATAGAATAAACCTCTAGTTTCATTAGAAACATGCTTCAACTCAATTCTCTCTAGTTTACTCTCAAAAAATGAAGCACTCTGAAATGGTTCAGCTCACCAGTGTATGTATGTAAGAGAAGACTTATGTTTAACAAAACGAAAATTTCTCACATTTAGCAATGAAAAATGTTGTGTGTATATATATATATATAATAAAATAATAAAAAAAGAATATATAGTCTCATGATAAGAAAGCTGAAAATAATGAAATTATGCCAATTTGTCCTTTGAAAAATCATGCTAATCCCGCGATCAAATAGCACTTTATTTTTTATTGTAATGTTAGGCCAGAGGGAATTTTTTATAGAATTGGGTGTAGGGTGAAAACAAGTGTCCAAGAAATGAATCAAACAAATGCAGAATATGTAGAACACTGCTTCACTAACCCGTCATTTTAACTCCTTTCTTTTTTTTCCTTTTTTCTTTTTTCTTTTTAATATGATTCACAACCATACTCTCCATGCTGTTGTTTTATTTTTTTTCTTTTTTTTTTCTTCTTATTCTTTTTTTTTTTTAACATAGAAGTGAAAATATTTTTTTTACAATTTCCTTATTCCACTCACAAGATAGTTTCTTCCCAAAACAACAAATAAAATCCATTCTTGATACACTGGAGGAAATAAGCCTCAGTTTGGTTTTCATATTGGGCTAAATAATCACAAAATAAAAAAAAAAAAGTCAAAAAGTCAAAAAAATAACAAAAAGTTTGTCATTCTAAAGCCAAAAAAGTCAAAAAAGCCAAACAAGAAAACAAAAAAAATAAAGAAAATTATATTTATCAAAAAAAAAATTTCTCACATTTAACAATGAAAAATGTTGTATAGAAAAGTAAGTATAGTCTCATGATAGAAAGCTGAAAATAATGAAATTATGCCAATTTGTCCTTTGAAAAATCATGCTAATCCCGCGATCAAATAGCACTTTATTTTTTATTGTAATGTTAGGCCAGAGGGAATTTTTTATAGAATTGGGTGTAGGGTGAAAACAAGTGTCCAAGAAATGAATCAAACAAATGCAGAATATGTAGAACACTGCTTCACTAACCCGTCATTTTAACTCCTTTCTTTTTTTTCCTTTTTTCTTTTTTCTTTTTAATATGATTCACAACCATACTCTCCATGCTGTTGTTTTATTTTTTTTCTCTTTTCTTTTTTCTTCTTATTCTTTTTTTTTTTAACATAGAAGTAAAAATATTTTTTTTACAATTTCCTTATTCCACTCACAAGATAGTTTCTTCCCAAAACAACAAATAAAATCCATTCTTGATACACCGGAGGAAATAAGCCTCAGTTTGGTTTTCATATTGGGCTAAATAATCACAAAATAACAAAAAAAAGTCAAAAAGTCAAAAAAATCAACAAAAAGTTTGTCATTCTAAAGCCAAAAAAGTCAAAAAAACCAAAAAAGAAAACAAAAAAATAAAAAAATCCTAGGTTAGAAAAGTCAAAAAAGTCAAAAAGCTAACTAAAAAAGTCATTGTCAAACGACCACTAACTAAATGAATAAAAAGTTTTTCTATAAAGGTCCAATGGGCTAACTAGTGTTAATTGAAGCAAGAATTATTATTATTATGTTTTTAATAAGGCTCAAACACATGAAGGTAGCTTAAAATCATTTCTCAAAATATAAGATGATTTATATGTTATAAGGACAAATGACATAAAAATGATGATTTCAAAATTTTCGACCAATTTGAAAGAATAATGAGACTTAGGCCTCGTTTGGGAACAAGCTAATTTAGTAACTTTTTGGCTATTTGGCTAAAATATGAGCTAAAAAAAACTAGTATGTTTGGGATGACTTTTTGGCTAATTACAAAAAGATGTGCAAAAAGTAGAGAGAAAAGAGAATTTTTGACTTTTTGGTATGGGTTGTTGACTTTTTGGCTAATTTAGTAACTTTTTGACTTTTTAGCTAAAACAGAGCCTTCCCAAACGAGGCCTTAAAAACGACATAATGAGTTGTCAAAGAAAAATTAAGAGTAAATGTAATATAACCCTTCAAAAAGAATAATAAGCTCAAAATCTCACACGAGTTACAGTCTCCGCATTAGACATCAAGATTTCAAGTCTAAGTCGAAAATTTAATCAAAGAATATTTAAGGGGCTATGTGCATGTACACATCATCTAAGATGAGACAGAAAATTATTTTTAACTAAGGTCTCGTTTGGGAACAGGTTAATTTAGTAACTTTTTGGCTATTTGGCTAAAAAGGTAAGTAAAAAAAACTTGTATGTTTGGGATGACTTTTTGGCTAATTACGAAAAGATGTACAAAAAGTAGAGAGAAAAGAGAATCTTTGACTTTTTTGTATGAGTTGTTGACTTTTTTGGCTAATTGAGTAACTTTTTGACTAATTGACTAAAAAAGTAAGTCCCCAAAACGGCTAATTGGCTAATTAGCTAAAAGATAAGGTAACAAAATTAACAATTAAACACAATTTTTTTTTATAAAAAAAACGCCACATGCAACACAATATTTATTTTATTTTATTTTTTTAACACAGACAACCGCACAAACAAAGCAATTTTTTAAAAAGATAAATAAATAAAAAACCATGCACATGTAACACGGCACGTAACAAAAACAAATAATTTTTTTTTTTAAATACAACCGAACAACGCACGCATAAAGAAAAAAAAAGAGTTTTTTTTATTTTATTATTATTTTTTTTAACACGAACATCGGCAAACACTTTTTTTTAGGGGTATTTTTTTTAAGGTCCCTGATATTATGATTTTAATCTTTTGAATCTTGGCCACAGGCTCAATCCATTGCCCACCTGTTGACCCAACCGATGAGCTAATTCGTTCAAACTAAATTGACTAGAAAAAAAAATATATGAGAGGTGATTACAAGTCCCTCTAGATCAAGCTCGTTAAATAATGCTTATACCTAAATATTGGCCAATTGATCAGCTTAATCTAAGACCATCATAAAAAATAAAAAAAAACATTGTGTATACCCCACAAAGGAGTTTGAGTTTCATTTCATAAACCAACCGATGCCTACCTTAAACGCTTTATACTTAAATACATTCATTGGAGCAATAAAAATTAAGAAAAATATTTGAGGGCCCGAAATTATTTGGTTCAAAATTGATTCGAAACTCAAAACGGCGTCGTTTTAGATTCTCTTATTAGTAACATGTAATAAATTTTTTTTACCGATAAGATATATTACAATTTTCTTATCGGTATGATAATTCAAAACGACGTTATTTTGAATTCGAGACAAATTTAAGCTTGAAATATTCGGATCCTGTAACAGCGTTAGATTGTATTTCATTCATGCTGACATGTTACACTAACACACAAATACATCCCATAAAGGTGCTTTAAGTAAAGATATGTGTAAATGCCTATACTTGGGGACTGTAAAATGATGGCAACTCGACATTTGGGAAATAAAGCAAAAGAAAGTTGCTTTTTATAT